AAAATTTAAAAAACACGGAAAATATTAACGGAATTTTTGTCCCTTTCTTTTTTTTCATATTATTGTCTAATTGAAATGAATAATCTCTGATTATTTCATTCTTAAATAAATAATTACCCATAATTATTCTATTCTTAAAATACTCATATCTACTTTTGCTTTTTCGTCAAAATATCTAGGATTTATTTTTCGTTCGTGATTAAATTATTTTACTTTTTTATACTACTAATCAGCATAATTTACTACTTTTTTATTTAGAGGAGTGGAAGTGGGTGCGGCTCGGGACGTTTTTCGTGAAGCGGCTCGTTTAAAGTTGCTGGAAGACGTCGAAGTATGATTTGCTTATTTTAGATGATTTATTTGCCAATACTGCCAAAGAATTTTTAAAAAATTTAGATTATTTGTTAAACCAGATAGAAAAAGAAGCCTCTAAACATGCTACAAACAGAAACTAAACACTGGAAAATTATTCATTCAATATTATCCCGATATCCTTATAAATTTTATGCCTACGGCTCCCGAGTTAAAAACCAAGCCAAAAAAATATTCGGATTTAGACCTTTGCTTTTATGAAGAAATACCCTGGAACGTTCTCAGCCGTATTCAGGATTTGAAGAATCTGATTTGCCTTTTAAAGTGGAATTAGTGGCCTGGAAATGAATGTGATTAAGTTGGATTTGGTGCCATTAGGATAAAAATTAAAATATTAGTATATGTCAAAAATTACCAAACAAGAATTTGAAAATTATAATAAGCAATTTCTCTCCATTTTTGCTCGAATGATGGCTACTTCTGAAAATATTATCAATGGAGAACTAACCCGACAAGCAAGCAAAAATTAAGAAAATAAAATTATTAGGAATTTCAAAATGCAAAAAAAAGAATTACAAAAATTAGCCCAAAAGGTTCAATTAGAGATAAAAGAGGAGGAATTACAAAATTATTTGGACGTTTTTAAGCATTTAGAAAAATTATTGACTGACTTCCAAAAAGTTAAAATAGAAAAAAAAACCAAGCCTCTGAAAAGAATTAATGTTGGCTCTTTAACATTGCGAGATTTAGAAAAATTGAAAAAAGGTTTTTCCCAATCCCGAATTAGCCAACAGGACCAGAAAAAGAATTCTCTAATTACGGACGACGGCTCGGTATTGTTTAAGAAATAGCCCCGGCTTAATTAACTTTCTCCCTTTTTAGTCTCCTCCGGCGAACTATTAAGGCTACCCCTATCCCGACAACAATTAACAGCAAGAATAAAACAAGAATAATAGGCCAAGGAGAACTAGCAGGTTTATTAGAGCCGCTTTTATTATCATTTTTCTCTTGTAATAGGCTTTGTCGCATAATCGCTTCCCGCATTTTGCGAGTAAAATTTGTGATTTCTTGGCTATCGGTCAATTTGGCCAAATATTCCTGTCAACTTTCTTCGTTTCCTCACAAGCTTTTGTCTAAGCGACTGAGTTCTATCTGGTGCTTTTGTAGTAATTCTTGGATTTCATTTTGAGTTGCTTGTTTTGCCTCATCCAAGGGAAGATTAGCAACTCTTTGGTTATTTTTATTATTCTGCTGAATAATGGCGTTTTTGATTCTTTTAACAAATTTTTGTATTTTTTCATTGTCGGTTAGGTTTTCCAGATATTTTTCTCAACTTTCTGCACTTTCTCACAGCCCGGTATCTAGTTGGGAGGCTTGAACTCCGTAGCGGTCAAATAGAGTTTCGATTTCCTTTTTGGCTTTAATTTTTGCTTCGTCCAAAGGAAGACGAGGCAGTTCCTCAATATTTTCCTGAGACTCTTTATTATTTTCTACAATAGGGTTCTCTGGCTTATCTACTGGGGAGTTAGGCCTGGGTTGCTCAGGCTGAGGAGTTTCGCCCGTTGGTTCGGGCTGATTAATTTGATTAATTATGGTCTCTAATTTTGCTAGAGCGGTTCTTTTGGCAGTTAATCAGTTTCGGTAATTATCTATCTGAGTCTTATTTCTGGCCTCTATTTGTTGGTTATCCGCGTGGCGGGCTGGATTTTCTAATTTCTCCCCAAGATTTAAAGTTGGTTGGTTTTCAT